AGGTGGCTCAGTGGCTAAGACACTGAACTTGTCGATCAAAAAGGTCGGCAGTTCGAATCCCTAGTGTAGGTCTTCTGTGGGAGCGGGGGGTTGGACTAGATGACCTCCAAGGTCCCTTCCAACTCTGTTACTGCACATGAGATGTAGGAAATGTTCTTCAAAGTAGTCTATACCAGGGATGTCAAACTCAATTATCAGGGTTGTGTTTGACCTCGGAGAGGTGGAGTGTGGCGTGGAGCGGGGGGAGGAGGCATGGCTGGAGGTGGGTGTGGCCACGATGGGTGTGACACGGGACTCATGTCAGGGTGGGAGGGCACCTGTGGTGGCCAATTGCTAAGGCAGGACTTCTCTGGGACAGTCCCTCACTCTCATTATAATGTAATTATAATGTAAATTTTAATTTGTTCTTAACCTGGGGTTTTAAATTTGTCTTGTGCTAAATTGATTTAATTCGATTTTACTTCTGCTCTTAAATTTTTGTATTCTATGTGTTTTATCTTGTGCCTGTTCACTGTCCTGAGTCCTTCGGGAGTAGGGCGATATATAAATGAAATGAAATGAAATGAAATGAAATAATCTCCTTCCTTCCAGGAAGTAATTAAAAAAATCTTAAGATTGTGCAGAAATGAACAGATTAAATTTGATGATTAAAGAGAGAGAGAGAGGATATGGACTATTATGTAAGATATGGGGGAAATTTTATGATTGGTTAAAAAAGAGATATGAGATAAAGATTGTGATCATTAAATAAGGAGAATGTCATATTAAATGTATTGTAATTTGGGGGAAATATCGCAAGAGAGAAATGGAAACTATCAAGGAGAAATGAAAATAGGAGGAGTAATAAAAAGAAGTCATGGAAGAAACACCGAGAAGACACACGGAAGGATTGATGTATTATGTGTTTGTTTGTTTTAAAAAATAAAAAAAACTTATATATAAAAAAAATAATCTTCCTTCCTTCCTTCCTTCCTTCCTTCCTTCCTTCCTTCCTTCCTTCCTTCCTTCTTCCTTCTCCTTTTTTCTTCCTTCCTGTTTCTTTATTTTTCATTCCTTGCTCTCTTCCCATCTTTCCTTCTTTTTCTTTGTCTTTCTTCTTTCCCATTCCCCTCCCTTCTTGCATGCTCAAATGCAAATGGGGAAACATTTCTCCTTCTGTTTTGTTTTTAGTTTGTTTTGATAGCCTTCTGTCAGAGAAAACGAAGCATGGGGGAGGGCGCCCCCCCTCCCCGCATCCTGTTTTCAGAAACAGAGCATTTTGCTGACAGAGGCACCGCAGGCTGGCCCTTTGCTGCAGTGGTGGGTTTAAAATTTTTTACTACAGGTTTGGTGGGCATGGTTTGGTGAGCGTGGTATGGCTTGGTGGGTGTGGTTTGGTGGGCATGGCAGGGACAGGATACTGTAAAATCTCCATTCCCACCCCACTCCATGGGAAGGATACTGCAAAATCCCCATTTCCTCCCGATCAGCTGGGATTCGGGAGGCAGAGAATAGATGTGGGCGGGGCCAGTCAGAATTTTTACTACCGGTTCTCTGAATGACTCAAAATTTCCGCTACCGGTTCTCCAGAACTGGTCAGAACCTGCTGAAACCCACCTCTGTTTTGCTGTTTCCCGGCCGGCCCCACGGGCCAATCTAAGCACCCCGCGGACTAGATCCGGCCCACGGGCCTTGAGTTCGATACCCCGGTATACACATTAGAGCAGATTCTAACTTTGCTACACTCCTCAACACATGGGGTGGAAATTCCCAGAACTCTCATTTTAACTCCTAAACAGCCTTCACCAACTTCAGTCATAAGTCTTAAGACCAACAAGCTTCATGTTGGCCATACCTCAGCTGTGTCAATTTACCTCGGTTTGTTCCTTACCTCTTTCTTGCAGAGGTTGCCCAGGTAAAACTTCACCTGGCTGTTATCAAAGCCTTTGCGAATGTCAAACACGTTGACCAAGTAGCCCTTTTCCACCAGCTGCTCTACCAGATGTTGACCGAGAAACCCTGAGCCGCCAATTACGGTGCATTTTTTACTAGCCTGCAGGAAACGGATACAAACGGATTGCAATCAGTGTTTTTCCAAGCACGTTGTGATTGGTTTTTATGAGCACAGAAAGCAACAAGCAAGAACTCATGCCAATAACAGCCATTGCAGGACGAAAAAACCCCCCAAAAAAACCTTCAGTGCAATGAGCCTCGGTGGTCAGCATATTGCCCCCAACAATTTTGGGTCCTCATTTTACCCACCTTGGAAGGATGGAAGGCTAAGTCAACTTTGAGGCTGGTGAGATTCGAACTGCCAAATTGCAGGCAGCCGGCAGTCAGCAGAAGTAGCCTGCAATACTGCATTCTAACCAATGTGCCACCACGCCTCATGTTAAAAAAGCAGCTCCCCACAAAAAACGGTATTTTGCAGAAATAAATTAACTTACCAGCCTCGAATGCGTGGCCATCTTGTCCAAAGGTTTCTCAGGAAGGGACAGCAATTCTCCAGTTCTTTTCTTGCTGTACTCAAATGACAGAAAAAGTTAATTAGAACCCTCCCATTCCCACCACCCCTAAGTTAGTTTGCAGCCTAACTTTTTAAAAAGCCCAATGTTTACCTCTCGTGATAATCAGTTGAGCAACTGAACTTTCCCCTTACGCTGACCTCAGCATAGCTCCTGCAGATAAAATGACTGCCTCAGGAATCACTCTACCTTTGCAACCCTTTCAGAGCTAACTATTCAACAGCCTTTGTAAAGGAAAAACAGTCATTCTATATTGCCTTTAAATGTGGAAGATTTATTTTAGCCATTACTACTAATTCGAAGAGACACAGTGGCTCAATGACTAAGACGCTGAGCTTGTCGATCAGAAGGTCGGCAGTTCAGCGGTTCGAATCCCTAGTGTCCCGTAACAGGGTGAGCTCCCGTTACTTGTCCCAGCTTCTGCCAACCTAGCAGTTCGAAAGCAGGTAAAAAATGCAAGTAGAAAAATAGGGACCACCTTTGGTGGGAAGGTAACAGCGTTCCGTGTGTCTTTGGCATTGAGTCATGCTGGCCACATGACCACCGAGACGTCTTCGGACAGCGCTGGCTCTTCGGCTTTGAAACGGAGATGAGCACCACCCCCTAGAGCCAGAAACGACTAGCACATATGTGCAAGGGAACCTTTACCTTTACTAATTCTAACTGGAGTACCACTTGAGCACAATTGTCATTGGCATGATCCCCAACAGTCAATTGCAAAAGGGAGCTTTTAGTTTAATAAACTGCGGGTGGTTATGGGCGCAACCCGTTATGCCCATGTGACACCCCTCCTGCGCGAGCTGCACTGGCTCCCGGTGGTCTTCCGGGTGCGATTCAAGGTGTTGGTTACCACCTTTAAAGCGCTCAATGGCATAGGACCCGGGTACCTCCGAGACCGTCTTCTGCCACCAATAGCCTCCCACCGACCAGTTCGTTCCCACAGAGAGGGCCTCCTCAGGGTACCATCAGCCAAGTTATGTCGGCTGGCGACGCCCAGGGGGAGGGCCTTCTCTGTGGGAGCCCCAGCCCTGTGGAATGAACTGCCCCCGGAAATTCGTAAGATCTCCGACCTCCGGGTGTTTCGCTGCGCATTGAAGACCCTGTTGTTCCGCCAGGCTGGACTATCAACACAATAGTTTTAAATTGGGGTATTTAAATTTATTGGGGTTTTAAATTTGAGCCACTTATTTAATTATTTTAAATTTTATATCATTGTTTTGTCTGTGTTTTTAAATAGGCTGTACACCGCCCTGAGTCCTTCGGGAGAAGGGCGGTATAGAAATAAAATTATTATTATTATTATTATTATTATTATTATTATTATTATTATTATTATTATTATTATTACCAACAAACAATAGCTGTCTGTCCCAGGTTCTTGAAAACCATAGATAAAAATGCCAAATTCAGTCTAAACAGCTGGCACACGGTGCAACCAACCCTAATTGTCTCAAAGGTGCTTTTTCAAAACTTACCTGTGCTGTTTTTTTTTTCCCCTTGAGTTTCAAAAGTTGCCTTTTGAAAAAGCATTTTTGAGACAATCATGACCTGGCTGACTGAGAATCTCCATAGACAACCAACCACCACCACCACCACCACCATCATCATCATCTACATACATCATCATCATCATCATCATCATCATCATCATCTACATACATATATATATATAGAGAGAGAGAAAAATCTGCCAGTAGCTCTGGACAGTTTACCAACTGCTAGACGTGACATGTTAGTAAATATCAAAGACATATAACATTTCTCTGTGTTATCAATTTCTTAGTCTAATAAGCCATCTCCATAAGCCTTTCTAACTGGCTTCTTCCTTTAAAGAAAATGAAATATTTATCAGTTAAGTCACTTCAACAGAGAGATGGGTAGCATATAAATTTAATACATAAAATACATTACAGTTTCTTTGCCATCTCCATCACCTGTCATCCCTCACCTGCTTTTCTCAAAGCTGCCAAAAAAGATAATATTTAAAACAGATATTCCTAAAAAAAAAAGATATTATTTTTAAAAGATATTCCAGGTCTAACGGTGAGGCAAAGCAGCCTAGACAAAATCGAGGACCAGGAAAAGGGATCTGAAGAAGCCGCCCGTGGATCTTCCTGCCCAGGAATCTAATACAGAACCGATCCAAAGAATGCAAGGAATTCCACCCAGCAGCCTCTCAGCTGGTCCATTCATCCCAACAGCCACGCCCCTTTGCTTTTATACCCATGGGCGGGCAGACCACGCCCACCCACCGATCTCCTCCAATCACATCCCGCGGTGGCGCTCGACTCCTCCCTCTCCTTCGACCCCACCCCTAGGGTGAAGATCTGCCGAGAGTGGGGAGGCTCGCCCCATTGGCTCTTCCGCCTTTGTGGCCAATCGGATCTTTCTCCCCCACCCGCCCACACACTCCGCCCTCAGCCATTCGCCACCAATCACCGCCCGGGCGTGGCTCTCCCTCTCTTGCGCTCGCCGGCCAATAGCGAGGGCGGTTTGTCCCGACGTCGGCGCGTAGCGAGAGGAGCCAATCGGAAGGCGCGACGCTGAGCGTCTTGGCTGCCGGGCGACGGTTTTGAGCTCCCGCCGTTGTTGTTGTTTTTTTCCCCCCCACCAACGGGCTTCCTCAGGGACCGGCGCCGCTTCCTGGGGATGGTCAGTGGGGTCGCGGCCGGGGAAGGCCTTAGGCGGGTGGGTAAGGGGGTGAGGGGAGAAGGCCGCGGCAGTGGCGGCGAAGCCAGACACGACCTGAGGTAGTTTAACGGCTGGAATTTGCATCCGTTCCCTATATGCTAATGTATGCAAATTAGCCACCTGGTGCCCTCTTGAATCTCCGAATTGGATCTTGAGGCGCTTTTGCAGGGATCGGGAGGCAGAAGCCTTCCCCGACTGCCTTCCCCGCCACTTGATCCACTTTTTGGGGGGGGGATGGGGGGAGAACACACAATCCGGACTTCCCGTTTTCCTGCACGTGTGAACGCGCCGTAGGGTGGACTCGTGTGTCTTGGAAGCTCCAGTTCGGAAGGGAAACGTGTTATGAGCCCCAAAACAGGGGAATGAAGGATGGTGGTTGGGCCAGTTTGCTGTAAATATATATATATATATATATACAAGTTTAGGGCATGAACTCGGGTGGGAGGGAGGTGCCTAGGGACAGGTAGTCCTCGACTTACGACCACACCGGAGTCCCAAATTTATCTTGCCGAGTCTGAGACCTTTGTGAAATGATTTTTCCTCGATTTTACGACCTTTCTTTGCCACCCTTGTGTGAAGTGGATGGCTGCGGTTGATTAGGGAGGAACCTGGCAGTTGAAGGAATCGGGTTTCCCCCATGGACTTTGGCTGGTCGGGAGGTCGCAAAAAAGGGAATCACATGACACACACCCCTCCCCCGGGATGCTGTGACCGTCATAAATGTGAGTCAGTTATCGAGCAACGAAATGGAAATCAGGTGACCGTGGTGGAGGACGCAGCAACGGTCGTTAAGTGTGAAAAACGGTCCCGAGTCACTTTTTCCAGTGATATTGTAGCTTTGAACGGTCACTAAATGAACAGTTGTAAGTCGAGGACTACCTGTATTTGCGAAGCCTGCATAGCAAAAGATAAAGGAAGAGGGGGTGTGGAAAGGTGGGGTGCCTTTCAATGTAGAAAATAGCAGCTGGCTGTCAGGCAATGTCATACAAGACATATTGCTAAGGTGTTCTGGCCTGCCAGTGGCCAGAGGAGCTGGTGGCAGACTCAGACAGTGAGGAGGTTGGGGAGGAACATGGGCCAGTCCTGGAGTCTGGGGAGGGCTCTGATAAGGGCTCTGCATCGGAGGCAGAGATGGGGCCAGGACCGTCTGACAGTTGTCAGCTGCCTTCGGAGTCGGACATCAGTGGGGCAGAAGAACAGCTGGAGCCTGTTCCCAGCGTGTGCATGCGCAGAACTGCCAGGAGAAGGGAACAGCTAAGGAACAAGGGTCAACTCAGGAGTAAAGCCACAGGTGGATGGTGAATGGTCCTTCCCATAGGGAATAAAGAATGAAAGAGGAGGAGAGTTTGCAGGAGACAATTAGTTTGCTTAATTGGTTTGTGACTCAGAGACTTCTTGCCAAGTTTTGAAGATTTCGGCCTGGCAGCTCTCCAAGCCAGATAAGGTCTGTGATGGTAAATTCTCCCTTGAAAGACTTTGCTGGATGTGAATGAGGAATTCACAGTAACTTAATAAAAAGGGTTTTTTTGTCAGGACAAGGAGTCTGCTTCATGTTCTTGGGAAGCTTAGGTCAGAACATAAGATAAAGAATAGGGGTAAGAGCCAATAGAAGACTGGCTAAAAGCTTTAAAATGCCTATTGATTAACTTTTAGGAATAGGGTCGAAGTAGAGCCAATAGAATACTTGTTAGATGACTTTTGGAGTGTTTATTAGTTAAGACTTAAAAATAGGGATGGTGTGGAGGCAATAGAGGACTGGTTAACTTTCAAAAAGCCTGTTAGACAATGTTTCTTTTTCCCTCCTTGAAAAACTATATAAAAATTTATGGAGATTCTCACTCATTCAGGTCATGGTTGTCCCAACGGTGCTTTTTTCAAGAAGCAACTGAACTTTTTGGTTTTTCTTTGAAGACATTTTGCTTCTCATCCAAGAAGCTTCTTCAGCTCTTCAATATAAAAGCTTGTTGAATTCTTTGTTTTGGGTCCTGGCATTTTGCTGACTGGGACCCCTTTTCCTGAAGCGCTTCAGTAAAAGAAAATCAATTCCGTACCTCGTGTCTGGTTGATTTCATTGGCTTTAGAGCCAAGCTGAGAACTGAATTTGAGAATAACAATGGAAAGGAGCCCACCAGGTGATCCCAAGGTGCAGGCTAGACCTGAAAGTCCAAAAAACATTGGCCAGTCATTCCTATCATGTTGCAGGAGACAACCACAAAATCACCAGCTCTCGGGAGAAAGGAACATCTTGCATATAGAAAATTAGCACATGGAGGAGGGGTAGAGTGGACCTTTGTTTTCTTTGGTTTACTAGTATTCTAATTTGAGGCAAGTTTTGTTTAACCCTGTTGAATGATGTGCATATACTGTCAAGTAATACAACCAGGAGTGTCTGCAGGGTGTGATCAAAAAAAGTCAAGACGATGGCCAAGCTTTTGTAATCAAAGTTCCCTCTTTCTTATTTACTGTCGTTATCATCTTGATTATTTTGACCACAGATCGAGGACATCTCTGTAACCCAAATACATCAGTGCGGATACATATTTTTTAAAAATTCCCTACAGTAGGATCATGCATCAACATTTTCCATTTTAACTTGCAGCCATAATGCTCTCCACCGAGAATAAACACCAATAAAATTGGTAATAATTTTAAAAGCCAGGAAATATATGTTTACAGTGTCATTTCAATCACAAAGTTAAGGTTTTTTTTTAAGGAATAGGAAGAATAGATCCTACCCAACTATACCCAGCTATGTATTAATTGGGTGAAGGAAACCAAGGTATTCCTAGACAAAATACATAAATTAACTTATTTAATTTAGGATGTGTTCAAAAAATATTAATTGAAGGCTTACACCACATCTGCAGTATGATGCATCACTTCACATTCTGAAAATCAGTAATTTAGCTACTAGGACCTCAGAGGCAAAAGTGTTTGAAACTCCTCTTCAAAGTCGGGCCAGGCTCTCTGGAATAGTCAGAAGGGAAACCCTCTAGGGAGCTAAAACTGGGTTATGTCTTTTAATATTCTCTTCTGTCTTTCATCCATGCTCTCAGGCCTCCAGCTATAAGAAGGCATCCCTGGGAGCAGCAGCTCAGAGGAAGAAAACAGCTCCCAAAACCGAACTCACTGAAGAGCAGAAGCAAGAGATTCGGGAGGCCTTTGATCTCTTTGACACCGATGGGACTGGCAATATTGACGTAAAAGAGTTGAAGGCAAGCTACAGAATATCACTAAGATGCTTTCATTACCTGAGAGCCTGCTCCATTAGCAGGCCTTTCTTCTCAGAGATCTGTAATTTTAGTCGTAGAATCGTAGGGCCGGAAGGGACCTTGAAGGTCTTCTAGTCCAACCTCATCTCATCCTCTTTTCATTGTTTTTAGGTCGCCATGAGGGCCCTTGGGTTTGAACCCAAGAAGGACGAGATCAAGAAAATGATCCTTGAGATTGATAAGGAAGGGACAGGAAAGATTACCTTCAGTGACTTCCTAGGGGTGATGACCCAGAAAATGGTATGTTGTGCTGGCTATAGAGACAGAATTTGGTTTTAAGTTGCAACTCTCAAAGAAATTGAAAGCTGCCTGGGATTTTTCATGGTAGCGTTCCATTTGTCAAAGAGGGAAACCAGGCTCGGTCCTACCGTCACTCCACGTATCAGACTTTAGCTCAGAGATTGGTAGAACAATGCAACTTGCAAGGCAGACTGGAAAAGAATCGAAAGTAAAGCCTTTTCTGTCAACAACTCTTCAGCAATCTTGTTCTGATTGGAGGAGGACGATGCGTTTGATTGTATGTAAGCAGTAAAAGCCATCTCTGGCAGAATCCTATTTGCTGCCTTCAATAAACTGAGGGCAGAACCTATTTTAAAATAGCAATAGCACTTAGACTTATATACTGCTTCACAGTGCTTTACAGCCCTCACTAAGCAGTTTAGAGAGTCAGCATTTTGCCCCCAACAATCTGAGTCCTCATTATATACCAAACTCGGAAGGATGGAAGGCTGAGTCTTGAGCCAGTCAGGATCGAATTGCTGGCAGTTAGCAGAATAAGCCTGCAATGCTGCATTCTAACCGCTGTGCCACCACGAGTCATAGCTCTATATAGCATTACCCCAATTGTTTTTGTCCCACTTCGTTTAACATGTCTGAAGGCTTGTTGTTGTTGTTTGTTTTTTAAGGCTGAAAAAGATTCAAAAGAAGAAATTCTGAAAGCTTTTAAGCTCTTCGATGACGACGAAACAGGCAAAATCTCTTTCAAAAACCTGAAACGCGTGGCCAAAGAACTGGGGGAGAATCTCACCGACGAGGAGCTTCAGGTTGGAAACCATGTTGACTTGTTTATGTAATGATTCTATAAACGGTGATTTTATATAAGCTGAACTCTGGTAGATGAACAAGTGGGAAGGCAAGAGTGGGAAAAGATGAATAAACTTCAGCCAGTGGACAAAGTTGATTATGTTGAGGTCAGATTGGAATGAGGAAGAAGCTCTTTGAACCAAGCTCTTACCTCACTTGATTTTGCTTCTGCTGCAAGAGATGATTGATGAGTGTACAAAGTCAGTAGATAATGACCGTAGGAGCAGTTTCAGCAGCTATAGTAGTAATGGTACTAGTAGCGTATGTAGCAATGAGAGTAGGAACCGAAGCTGGAGGCAAGGACATAATGGAAATAGAAAGCATCATGAATATGTTAAAGCATTCAGCTGTTCAGCTTTAAATGGGAAGAGACACTCTGCCATCTTTGAACCAAGCTCTTACCTCACTTGATTTTTGCTTCTGCTGCAGGAGATGATTGATGAAGCCGATCGGGACGGAGATGGGGAAGTCAATGAACAGGAGTTTCTGCGGATCATGAAGAAAACTAGTTTGTACTGAGATGTTTGGTCCACACCGTGACCTCATTTATTGCCTCATGTTGGCTAAATTCAATCTCAACAGATTCCTCTTGGAAAGAGATGAACAGCAGCCCAAATCTCATAAACATTGTGAGCTACTTCCAGTTCTCTTTCTTTTTGTAAATCCCAGCAACATCTGCTGACTCCCAGCTCATCTTTCAGTGTTTCATACAGCAGGAAATGTGAGGCTCTGGGGCTTAAATTACAGTTGGAAGAAAGCGGTGTTATTTCTATATAGGTTTCATGCGAGAATGGGATTTCGAATTTACATAACCGAGAAGCAACCTTTCTCTTTTAAAATATTGTTGTAAAAAAGCTGAAACTCCTTATTATTTGAGTATTTTAGTCAAGGAGAAAACAATTCCAGAAAGTAAATGTTTCTGCTTCAGCTCCTGCATTTGATCCATTGCTCTTTGTTCTTGTCATCTATGAAAGTGGCCTAATTCTGGTTATAAATATTCAGATATAGTGCCTGCCTTATCTAAACATTGATATAAAGATATTGTGCACTTAATATCTTTTTATTCCCTCTCCCCTCCAAAAAAACAAAAAAAAAACACTGAATGTAAATGGATATAACTTTAATGCTAGAATTGATAAGAAGGACCTTGTAATAGTTGTTTTCCCCACCTAAATATGGCTTGTGTTGTTAGTTGTGAAAAGTAAAGCTGAGATCAAAACTCTATGACGACAGAGTTGTCTGGGTTTTTTATTCTGCTGACTGCTTTTAATTTTTTATTTACATAGCTTTCCTGCATAAAAATGCTGAAGGGATTTTTTTTGCCAAGCAGAAACAAAAATAGGATGGGGAAATCAAGTCTGCAAGCGTTATCTGTCAGGTGTGAAAAGACCAGATCCACCCAACAGATTTATGCACAGGAAGCTTCTCAACTAACAGCGCCTGCTTGAAGTTAGATGAGGGGCAACGGAATTCAAGGGTGGGGTTGGACTTAGTTTACTTGTGGCTACACAGGGATTCTAGGCTGATGCCTCTTTAAATTCCACACACATCCCCTCCGATTCTGATATCCCTTCTCCTACAGTATCACCCCAATCAGCTGCTATTGAAATCAGGAAACACACAAAAAAAGCACCACAATTTATGATGGAATTTCATCATCATGTAGTGATACAGGAAGTCCTCAATTTACAATCACAATTGAGCTCAAAATTTTCATTACTAAGCAAAACAGTTACCGTATTTTTCGGAGTATAAGACATACTTTCCCTCCCCCTAAAAGAGGGTGAAAATTTGGGTGCATCTTATACACCGAATGTAGCCTCACCCACCCACCGGCCCCCACCCTTTGGCTTCTGCCTCCCAGCAATTTACCTCCTAACAGCAAACAGCCCTTTTCAGCTTCAGCACAGCCTGATTAGCACAAGCAGCTGATTGTCAGTTGGATCGGCTTCCTGACCCTCAGCTGTTTCAGGCTGGACGGATTGCCGTTGCCTATTGCCACGTAGGCCTCCACTATTTGCTGCAAGGAGGCAAATTGCTGGGAGGCAGAGGCGTATATTTGCTTTCTTTCGTGGAATTTAAATGTGCTCTATTCAAATGCCATTCACCCAAAAGTTTATAGTTCTTGCAATTCAACAGGCAAGAGAGATGGAAGGCAGCCCATTTCTAAGGACTTGTGTCTCCATGTCTGTTTCTTTTTCAAATCAATCACATTTGAAAATTTAATAGGGTCAGACGTTCCTGTAAAGCTTAAACCATGGCTTAATTCTTTTTTATTTTCTGCCTTCTAATCTCAAGCCAATCCACTAGAGGGCATTGTTGAAAATGCTTTTCATAGAAAGAAAAGAAAAGCATGTTTAGGCAATGATTTTAGATACCTGTTAAAAAGTTTCATTCAGCTGAATGCCTCTTACTTTTGAATAAATAAGCACAGGATTTAATCATTACTTTTCCTTCCTCTTGTCTACCTTAAAACCATACCAGTAAGTATGTAGCGCCTAAATGTGTATGTGTGTGTGCACCTTAAGAATTTGACGATTTTCCACAAATTTAAAATAGGTGCAAAAATCCCCATTGAAAGCAGAAGGTTTTAAATCGGCAACTCCACCGTGTATTTTACTGTATAGAAAACTTGAAAATTGCTAACACCTTGCAAAACAATGATGGGGACCAAAGTCAAAAGCAAAGGTAGATGGACAATTCTTAAATATGATATTTTTTTTAAAAAAAAGATCAGACAATGGGAATTTGTTAAAGCCTTACTGCAGTTTTCAATAGTTAAATTCCATCTTATTACAAAACAGGCACACTCTGAAATTGAATTTTTGGTTAAAGAGTTGGGTTTTTTTTAATATAGAGATGTGATAAAAAATGTTTTAAGGAAATGTTTTTATACAAATAAATTGCTCTGGTAGAATTTTCTCAGTATGGCCACTGTTGAGGGATTTAGTTCAGCCATATATTAAAGACCAAAAAATGTACATCCCCTGGTAGATAACAACTATAACTCAACAACGGGCTTCAGACTAACCACAGAGTAAAAGCCTAAATAAATAGATTTTCACTGCTGGAAGAATTTCTGAAGGCTGGTGTTCCTTGGGAAAAAATTCTGTCTTCCTTCCAAAAAGGAGCCTACGCTACTACAGTAGTGGCCAAAATTATGGAAACCTTTTGGGAAAAGTGTATTTTCTAAAACAAGCTAATAACACCCGTTTTTTTGGAGTAGTACCATAAAACTATATATCAATGGAAAGATAATTTGATCAAGAATGTAATGCAATTATGAAGGATTTGCTATTAGAATAGCAGTTACAGCATAAAGAAGAAAAGTGAAACACAGAAAAAACAAGATATACAAAAATTATCACCATAGAAAAAATGAGATACACAAAAATGATGACCACATCAGTTAATAGTTGGGTAACCTTTAGCAGGAACTACAGCCTTACAACGCCTTCCCATGGAGTGAACCAAGTCTTTCAGTTCTGTAGCTGTTATAATGTGAAACCAAGATTGAATTATTGCTTCTATTAACTGGGTTTTATTGCTGGGTCGCTTCTGATTAACAAGTTTCTTTACTCGGCTCCATCGATTTTCAGTTGGGTTAAGGTCTGGGCTATTCCCAGGCCATTCCAGCAGTGGAATAGGATTATCTTGAAACTCCAAAAAAAAAAGTGTTATTAGCCATCAAGCCTCAAAAATACACTTTTCCCAAAAGGTTTCCACAATTTTGGCAACTACTGTATTAAGGAAAAGGCAATTATTGTACACTACAGCCTTGCTCCAATAACCAGCATCTCTCACCACTGGCACTGGTATTTGGGGTACCACGACATTTTGGGAGAGCACATGTTCCTTCTACCAAAATGAAATTACTGCTTCAACAGATGTTGAAGAAAAGAGTATGAAGGCTGGGCAACAACATGTCTCTATTCAGGCGGCACCAGCCTCGTTTTAATATACTGTGTCCAAACCCAATCCTCTGCTTAGTTTGTGGTTCAGAATGTCACATGCATGAACTTTTTGGTTCACGGTTGTTAAATGAATAACTGCACTTGTTAAACGAATCCGCCTTCCCCCCCCCCCCCCCCCCATCGGCTTTGCTTTTGGAAGCCAACTGAGAAGGTTGCAAATCTTCAAAAGTGATCATGTAATATTGCAACTGTCAACATTGCATGCTGGTTTTGCCACCCCTCTGAATTTTGATCACACATCCGCAGGGAAAGCTGCAACAGTTATAAATGCGAGGACCAGTCGTAGGTCGCTTTTTTTTCAAAGCTGTTGCAACTTCAAACGGTTATAAGCTGAGAAAAACCTGGGTTAAAATCAGAATATGTTCCTTGCTTAATTTTAAGCTAAGAGGTTATTGTAATTCAGAAGTTAACCTGGAAGATAAACGAGTATTTTGTTTACAGAGCAATGGTAATAAATGCATCCTTTTCTTAGATTTTTCTACCACTGGTCAGTAGATTGAAATCAAAGTTAAATCAAAGAGAACCGGCTGAAAAAAAATGCTAAATAAGCTGCTCAGCTGATCATCGGAACTTTTTTTTTTTACATTTTTCACTACCGGTTCAGGTGAACCGGCCCGAACCGGTAGCATTTCACTCCTGCATTAGCCTGACCCAAAAATCATTCTGTAACTATCTTGCAAATCTCGTTAGCCATTTAACCTTCACATATCACTTCCCACAGCCACGTTGTCTATTGCTGTTTGACGGAACCGTGCCATGTGTGTGTTCTAATCTTCAAAGCATTCAGGCCTTTTGAATGATTTGAGGAAGACTTGTTGACTGCTTTATCTCCCGTTTCATTTTCTTTAATACCCACACGAGCCCGAGATCCATACAAAAATGTCATTGTTGCCATGACGTATTACCATATTAAGGACATCAATAATTTCCAAAGCCAGGCCCTCTCTAGTGATTGAAATTTCCAGGGTGGTATCAGTGGCACTTAAAAGATCTGGAGAACTGACAGATGGTAAAGATTACACTTTAGCAATTTAATTCAGTGCCATCAGAACATCAAATAACTCAGCTCTTCTGGCTTGATATAAGCAATCTACCTAGCGCCTTCCCCTGATGGAAATTTACACATAGGGGTAAGAAACCTTCCAAATCTGGGGAAAAGTTGTATACATACGATGTAAAAAAGATGTGGAGACTCTGGAAAGAGTGCAGAGAAGAGCAACAAAGATGATGAGGGGACTGGAGGCTAAAACATATGAAGAACGGTTGCAGGAACCGGGCATGGCTAGTCTAGTGAAGAGAAGGACCAGGGGAGACATGATAGCAGTGTCCCAATATCTCAGGGGCTGCCCCAAAGAAGAGGGAGTCAAGCTATTCTCCAAAGCACCTGAGGGCAGGACAAGAAGCAACGGGTGGAAACTAATCAAGGAGAGAAGCAACTTAGAACTAAGAAATTTCCTGACAGTTAGAACAATTAATCAGTGGAACAACTTGCCTCCAGAAATTGTGAATGCTCCAACACTGGAAGTTTATAAGATGATGTTGAATAACCATTTGTCTGAAGTATTATAGGGTTTCCTGCCTAAGCAGGGGGTTGGACTAGAAGACCTCCAAGGTCCCTTCCAACTCTGTTATTCTATTCTATTCATATTACAGACTGGTTCACAAAGGCAGGTAGAATAGTCGGAGCTGTTCATCTGAATTCATGCTCAGAAATCAACCACCATTTCATCAAAGCTGTACATCCATAGCTTGTTACTCAGGTGTACTGTACTAATTTCAGATTACAGAAACGATATTCCAACATCTTGCTAAGCACAAAATTATCCAATGTTTATGGGCACAGTTCAATTGGGATCGTATCATTTCCTCTTTCAAAATCCAACCACTGAGATAGGACTATAAGTCAGTCACTGTGTGCCTGTTTTAGTTGAGTGAGTTCCCAGATTGATTGTGCTTACATATGTTTAACCTGATTGCTCATTAATTCATTGGGAGGCTAGGTTAAATCATAAACCTATCCATTGGGCTGGATCACTCAACATAATCAGAAAAGCCAGGAATACAATTTAGACTGAAGATCTTCCTCTTATACAATCATACGCTACTCATCTAGGATTTGCTATATTTAGCAAAGCAGTTATTCCTCCTGGTGTGTTATTTTCAGATGCCAAACAGAGAAAACTGATTTTTGGTTTTCAAATACATTGAGGCTGGATTCATACTGCAGCTGATTCAGTTCTACAGAGGAAT